TCAAATTACTAGCATATGTGATGAAAAAGAAAATATCACAATAGACACTACAGAAATAAAGGAGATAATTAAAAATTATTTTGAAGCCTTATACTCCAATAACATAGAAAATAGTGAAGGCATCAATAAATTCCTTAAGTCATATGATCTACTCAGATTGAGTCAGGAAAATATACACAATTTAAACAGACCAATATCAAATGAGGAAAGAGAAGAAGCATCCAAAGACTACCAACCAAGAAAAGCCCTGGACCAGACAGACATACATCCAAGTTTTATAAGACCTTAAAGAAGAACTAATACCAATACTCTTCAATCTATTTTAGGAAATAGAAAAAGAGGGAGTACTCCCAAATTAATTCTATGAGGCCAATATCACCCTGATTCCAAAACCAGACAAAGACATTTCAGAGAAAGAAAACTTTAGACCAATATCTCTAATGAACATAGATGCAAAAATTCTCTATAAAATTCTGGCAAATCAAATACAAAAACATATCAAAATGATTGTGCACTCTGATCAAGTGGGATTCATCCAAGGGATGCAAAGTTGGTTCAACCAACCTGGGATGAATCCTTATCTCTTACAGAAATCAATAAATGTAATGCATTACATCAATGGACTTAAAGATAAGAATCATATGATCATGTCAATAGACGCAGAAAAAGCATTTGACAAAATGCTTTTATGTTCAAAACACTAGAAAAACTAGGGATAACAGGAACATATCTCAACATTGTAAAGACTATCTATGCTAAGCTTCAGGCCAACATCATTCTAAACAGAGAAAAACAGAAGTCATTCCCTCTAAAATCTGGAACAAGTCAGAGATGCCCTCTCTCACCACTTCTATTCAACATAGTTCTTGAAACACTGGCCAGAGCAATTAGACAGAAGAAAAAAAAATAAAGGAATAACTATAGGAAAAGAAGAAATTAAACAAGCACTATTTGCTGATGATCTGATTCTATACCTAGAAGACCCAAAAAACTCCACCAGGAAACTTGCAGAACTAGTAAATGAATTCAGCAAAGTGGCAGGATATAAAATCAACACCCATAAATAAAAGGCATTTCTGTATATCAGTGACAAATCCTCTGAGAAGGAAATGAGGAAAACTACACCATTCACAATATCCTCAAGAAAAATAAGATGCTTGGAAATCAACTTAACAAAAGCAGTGAAGGATCTATACAATGAAAACTACAGAACACTAAAGAGAGAAATCAAAGAAGAACTTAGAAGATGGAAAGATCTACCTTGCTCATGGATAGGCAGAATTAATATTATCAAAATGACCATACTACCAAAAGCACTATACAGGTTTAATACAATTCTGATAAAAATCCCAATGGTATTCCTCATAGAAATAAGAATAGCTAGACCCAGAATAGCTAAAGCAATTCTAAGCAGGAAGAGTAAAACAGGTGGTGTCACTGTACCAGACCTTAAACTATACTACACAACAATAGTAACAAACACAGCATGGTACTGGAAGCAAAACAGGTTGGTAGACCAATGGTACAGAATAGAGGCCTCAGAGGACCAAAAACATGTGCTAGAGAAAAGATAGCATCTTCAACAAATGATGCAGGGTGAACTGGAAATCCATATGCAACAAAATGAAATTGAATCCCTATCTCTCACCATGCACAAAAGTTAACTCAGAATGGATCAAGGATCTAGGAATTCAATTGTGCATCTAATAGAAGAAAAAGTAGGCCCTAATCTTCATCATGTGGGATTAGGCCCCAACTTCCTTAATAAGACTTCTATAGCACAAGAATTAAAACCAAGAATCAATAAATGGGATGGATTGAAACTAAAATGTTTTTTTTTTTTTTTTTCTCAGCAAAAGAAATAATCTGTGAGGTGAACAGGGAACCTACATCCTGCAAGCAAATTTTTACCCCTCACACATCAGTTAGAGCACTAATCTCAAGGGTGTATAAAGTACTCAACAAGGTAAGCACCAAAAAAATAAATAATCCAATCAACAAATGGGCCAACAACCTGGGCAGAAACTTCTCAGAAGAGGATACACAATAAATCAACAAATATATGAAAAACTGCTCATCATCTCTAGCAATCAGAGAAATGCAAATCAAAACTACTCTAGGATATCACCTCACTCCAGTCAGAATGGCAGCAATAAGTGTTGGTGATGTGGGGGAAAAGGTACACTCATACAATGCTGGTGGGACTGCAAATTGTTGCAGCCACTGTGGAAAACCGTATGAAGATTCCTTGGAAATCTGGGAATGGAACCACCATTTGACCCAATTATTCCTCTTCTCAGACTACCCAAAGGTCCCCAAAACTATACTACAGGGAAAAAGCCACATCAATGTTTATAGCAGCACAATTCATAATAGCTAAACTGTGGAGCCCAATTAGATGGCCTTGAGTGGATGAATGGATTTAAAAAATATGGCATATATACACAATGAAATATTACTCAGAACTAAAAAAGAACAAGATCATGGCATTTGCAGGTAAATGGGTGGCATTAGAGAAGATTATGCTAAGTGAAGTTAGCCAATCCCCAAAATCAAATGCTGAATGTTTTCTCTGATATAAGGGGGGTGACTCAAAGTGGAGTAGGGAGGGAGAGCATGGGAGGAAGATTACCTCTAGATAGGAAAGGGGTTGGAGATAAAGGGCGGGGTAAGGGGAATAGCAAGAATAGTGGAAGGTGATGGTCGTCATCATACAAATTACATGTATGAAGATTTGAATTTGGTGTCAACATATGTTATATACAAACATAGATATGAAAAATGTGGTATATATGTGTATTAGAATTGTAATGCCTTCCCAAGATGCTGCAGCTGTATGGGAAAAAGGGGCTGTTTTTCATGCTTTTTCATCACTTTCTTCTCCCAAATAAAGGCAACAAGAAGCTACAGCAGTAAGTCTATAGCCTATATTTCAATTTTTGTGTTTTCTCAATATATACATACAAATACATACACACACTATGTGCATATTCATACACATATGTGTTTATGTATGTATTTTTTAAAAGTTTTCTATTCAAGTACAATATAAAAGTATCATCTTTAATATTGGGCTAAATCAAAGATTTTTCAAATTATGGTCCGGTGATCAGTATCAGTAATAGCATCTTATAATTTGTTTAAAATTTGAACTTTTTTCCCATCCCAGATCTACTGAATAAAGACTCTTTGTGGTCAAAGCACAGCAATAAGTATTCAAACAACTTTTGCAGGTGGTTCTGATGCATATACTAGGTAAGTCGTCTACCTTGATATTCATCTGAGAAAGATTCCAGCTCAGATGCAAAGCACTGGACAGATGGTAAGGAAAACCCTTGGCTCTCTGCTGCGTCCTCTTTTTCCAAGATCTGAATGGTTTGGTCTGACAGAATTTCAGCTCTGGTGGTGTTGGGGGTGTGGGGCAGACAGGATCAGACAGTAGAGGTTTCTCAAGGAGAAGTACAAACTTCAAAGTAAGTACAGTGAGCTGTATTCACCAGATTTTCTGGCTTCTGATTACTGTTATATTTGAACTGCATCTGCCCCTGGAGATTTACCTCCAGGGCACCTTGGCAGATTCTGAGCTTGACTTCTATAAAGGAATTTTGTTATTGATCATTTAGAGTTCTATCTACCTCAACTTGTCCAGTACAAGTAGGCACAAGTGGTTTTGCTATTTGCAAAAAAAAAAAAAAAAAAACAAGAAAAAGAAACACACACACACACACACACACCAAAAAATTGCATGGGGTTGACTGGGAAGTTTGCTTCTGTATGTATTGAGAGGAAGAGAGAAAAGATTCCGTATGAAATCAGTTGCACTTGATTCCCATTTAAAAAAATTAATAATAATTTGAAACATTTTTGGATTAAACCCAGGGGTGCTTTACCACCACTTTAAATCCCTAGTCCTTTTTACTTTTTTACTTTGAGTTATCATATTGCTAACTTGCTGAGGATACTGCTCAATTGCTGAGGCTGACCTCTAACTTCCAATCTCCTGCCTCAGCTTCCCAAGTGCCTGGGATTATAAGGTCTGCAACACCACACTTGCATCACGTATTTGCATTTCTAAAAGCACCAAACTTTGAGAACCACAAACCTGGATAATTGGTTTATTCCACATTGTCTTAGCATGTCTTATTCAATTGGTTTACCCTGTGTTTTAGAAGCCTTTTTAATATTTCATAGCATTTATTTTCATTACCGTTCTCTATTATTAGTTGGTCTTTTGAAGAATATTTTTTAAGAAATAGCTTTCTTCCTTTCATAAATGTTATTTAGTAAAGATATTAAGTCTTATGTGATGCTATAGCAGAGATTATGGGACAGCACAATGTTAACTACCATTGTTTTGTTTTTTTTTTTTTTTAATACTTCTTTAGTTGTTAATGGACCTTTATTTAATTAATTAATTTATTTATATGCAGTGCTAAGGATCAAACCCAGGGCCTCACACATTCCAGGAAACTGCTTTGCCCCTGAGCCACATCCCCGCTAAACTAGCATTGTATAAAACATAGCAATTGTTCACTCATTAATAATAAATCAAATATTTGTTAAGTTCCTGTTATGTTCTAGACATTGTGAAACTGCTAGGAATGTAGACTAACTATAAGGCATTTTATTTTTTGCACTATATTCTATTATAAGAGAAAAGAACCAGCTACTCTGAGTTATGAAAATAGATTTTTTTTTTCTAATCTTCGCAGTCAGGAGATTTCCCTGTAAAATAGATTTTTTTTTTTCTCTCACTTAAGGATGAATTGATGTGCAGTGTTTACTACATGAGGGATAAGATCTTAGACTGACATTTGCATTGTGAAAAAACATGATGGTTCACAATGTGTAAACTTCATTCCTTTTATTAGATCCTTAAACTAGAAATACACATCTCTGTATATTTAGAACACCAGTAAGCTCACAAACCAGGTGAGCGAGCACAGATTATACTTTAGATAATGGGCCAAAAGAGATGCTCTGAATTTAAAATAGTCCAAAATTTGCATTTCACATTATCTTCATAGTTAACAATAAAATGAGGTTACAATAAAGTAGAAAAACAGTAAAAGAGTGTACAGTATTATTTATTTTCTTCAACTGAGGACTTGCTTAGGCATGGAGTTCCCAGACAATCAAGCTCCTGACTTATTCCTGATCATGTGGCCAGTTAAAGAGAAAGGCCTGACAGGGAAATTCAAGGAACCAGCAGGGTATGTCCATATAAGGGAACTCATGGCAACATTCAAAAAACTCACACTTTTGCTCTTAAAATCAAGGAACACACCAATCCGGCCCAGAGGCTTCTCTATATATTGGCAAGTCACCGGGGGAGAGGTCAAAATTCTATAATGATCACCTTCTTTCATGCACAGGAGGAGGAATATTTCCTTAGTGGCAAGCATAGTGCCAATATTTTTCCAGGACAATTTACAGACTCCCACCGCCCAGTCCCAAGAGTTATCCACATCCAGCTCCCAGTAGTGTTGCCCAGAGATGAAGATATGTGCTCCCCATGCAGCAAAATAGTTGGATCTGTCAGAATTCAGAGATGCATCTTGATGGTCTTGTCTAAGTACAAATGTTCTCACATCCTCAAAAAGCCTGATATCATGATTGCTTATTTCATTACTGAGGGAAATTTCCACTGTGAAAAGAAAAGAATACTCCAGTCAAAATTCATTGTAAAAAATCAGGGGAAAAGACTGATCAATGAGTATAAAATTATAATTAGCTAACAGTAACTTCTTGTGTGGTATTATGCAGTAGTATGATTTTAGAAAACCATAATGTTCTGTACATTTAAAAAAGCTATAAGAAAGTAGATTGCATGTTTTTACCAAAAACAAAAATGATAGATGTTTAAGGAGATAGATATGTTTAACTCGAGTTACACATTACACTATATATATATATATATATATATATATATATATATATATATATATATATATATACATACATTGAAATATCACACAGAAGTCCATAGATATCTCTAATTTCTACTTTTGTGTATCAGTTAAAAACAAATTTAAGTTTAAAAAGTAAAACTAAATTATCTCTGATAAGACAGTCTAGCATTTCATTGAGAAGTAGGCCAAGACTACAAAGGCTGTTCTAGCTGGAAAAATAACAGATTCAAATTCAAAATATAAAAATATATGTATAATAATAAAATTTGTGAAAAATCCATGAATTATAAAGAGGAGGGAGGCTTTTTTTTTGGTTGTTTTTTGGGTACTGGAGATAGAACCTTAGGGCCTCCCCAAGTAGCTTTGAACTTGCAATCCTCCTGCCTCAGACTCCGAAGCTCCTGGAATTGCAGTCATGTGCCACTGCACAAAGTGCATTTTTTTTTACAAGTAATTCATTAGAAATGCGAATGGATTTATTAATCCACTAACTTTCTCTTACTTTTGTCTACATTATGGCAGCACGGTTATTTATAAATACCTATTCTATCATCATCTATCATTTAAATACCTGTCCTGGACAGATGCCTTTTCTCTCTTAAATGAAAGATCAATAAAGGGGGAAACAATCTCAATAGAAAACTATTCCTGAACTGCACTCTCCATAGTCAGTCCAACCAGTGGGCTGACACTCACCACGACAGAGGTTGAGCCTGTCTATCAGTCCTGTGATGGGTTTTATGCTGAGCACTGGTCTCACAGGATGGGGCATATGCTGTTGCACTGTCTCACTCCTAGAAGAAGGAGAATGTAGTTAGTCATTTGAGTGCTAAAGAATTCACCACAGTGCTTGAGGAAAGACATACGCATGCAACTGATAATGCTCCCCCCTTGTGAATTACTCCCATAAATATCTTCTACAACTGTACCATTTTTAGGGTATTATTCCTTCTTTTCTCTTTGCTTTCATGCACCCAAAGGTACTTGCCTCACTCATCTACTACCTGGAAAATAATAGTCTATGTAGCTAAAGATTTTTATGGCTTTGAATCCTAAAATTGCAAGTAGCTGCCTTCTAGCAAATTCTGCAGGGCAGAAATTATGTGCAGTAAAACACATACACACATACTTGTATTCAAAAGTTTTTGAGAACACTAGATAATGTGCTATATACTAAAATTATGCATATACATTTATAATGCAATATAATACATATATTTGATATAATTTTCAAATGTTCTTTAATTATGGAACCAGTGATACCACTTTGACAGGTATGGATGAAAAATCATTTTTCCTCAATATTCTAACTTCTGATGAATTCTTATCCTCTCTTCTGCCAGTCGATGTTTATTTTCCACATGGGTCTGTGGCAGAATATCCATTTCTTAATGGAGGGTCATTTTCAGTATTTACAGATAATTCTTAGTATTTGCTTATGCGTCATAATTAAACCTCATCTAATATATAATGGCTTTATTTTGTTAGAAAAAATGTTTTATATCTTTCACAGCCCTCCTATCATTTCAGTTCACATTGAAAGCCAAATTTACCTTATCAATAGGTCTCCCAAATCCTGTAAGGAGAAAAAAAAAAGATAAGAATCCTTCCAAAATACCAATCACAACCATGCTCAAGCCCCTTAAATTGGATTTTCTTTTCCTTTCTAAAGTATAATCCCAGTACAACACATAGATATCATCTAAATTTGATGCATTTGGAACCCTAGGAGTGAGTAAAAGACATGGTAACCACAGTAAGTGGGCACTGCTGTGACCATCAGCTCTCTGTCAATAGGTCTTTCCAAGGACTTTTTCCTAACAGCTGAGGTATTCCAAAATAGAGCCGACTTAAATTCAGGATATGCAAAGACAATGGCCAAGGAAATGTTACCTTTCCCCAAATATTGCTCATTTGAGACAAAAATAAAATGTCCACAATAATATTGTTATTAGAAATAAGATAAATCAGAATTTTAGAAGAGATTATTCTCTGGGGATGCTACTCTTACAATTCTGTACAACTTGTTCATAGTTAGGAATTAGTTTATTATGCCCATTTCTGGAATGGCCTCCATCAGAAGTATGGAAGGTGGCAAAATATATTTTTAGTACTGAAGAGACAATGAAGACTAAAGATGTGTAGAAGATGGAGTTTAAAACCAACAAAGTCTTTACCTGGAGCAGCCTTTCCCCTGATTTATGGCACATTCTCATCAGCTCCTCATACATTCCTTTTAGGTGTTTCTCAGTTTGAACCATTTTAGCTTCACTTCTCTTGAGTTGCTCTACAATATTTTCATCTTCCTTTTGTAGTCTCTCCAAATGCTTTTGTTCCTCCATGCAGAGGACCGGGTACAGCTTCCTGTACTCGGTCTTGATCATGTTTTCCTGATGACGTACATAACTCTGCAGGGATGTGAATTTCCTGGGTCACACACTCAGGACAACTGTAACCTCCTTCCTTCCTTAACCCTCACCTGTTTCTCTCTGGCTCATTCCTCTACCAATCAGCTATATATATCCTCAATTCAGGTCCTCCCAATTCTCAGAATCCACGATTTTTTATTTATTTTCCTCTATTAATAAATAAGAGCAATCTACTTTTCCTCAAAATGTGTCCATCCAGAAATTTTTTAAAAGTGCTTATCTTTAGCAAGTTTCTGAGATACCTGGAAAATTCTCTTTAATAGGTAATTCCTTTATATACCCTTCAAATCTGAAAGACTACTTTTAAATCATTGACGTTGTTATCATTACGTGAGATTTTTATTTAATGTTAGTTTCTAATCTCAAATCTCTCCACGTCTATAACCTGACCATGTAGAACTTTCAGAAATATTGCATATTACATTCAGGATTAGAAGCTACACAATAAGGTCTTCCTAAAGCATCTAAGCCTAAGGTTTCAAAAGCATTAGTACCCTCCTGAACTTTACCTTCTTACCTGAGGTTGCAGGCTCTTACCTGCGGTTGCCCTGTTACATTAAGAACATTAATCCTCATTTCATTGCCTATCTCCTCTCAGTATCCACTCCCACTTACCAGGCCTTTGTGTTGTGTCTCCCCATTCCCCAGCTTTTTAATATGTTCTATTTTCTCCTTGAACCCATACTGTTTGGCTCCTGTGCAATCTTTTCAGCAGCACAGGTGCACTTCCCATTTTGCTGTTCACACCTCCTTTCTATCTCCAAGAGCCCATTGTCCTGATCAGCAAGAAATACATTGAATGCACAATTATATGCTCTTGAATTTCTACAATTCGTCTCCTACCTCAGCTTCTGCCTTAAATAACTATGACAGGTCTTCAATACTGATTCAACTGTCAAAACTCAGATTGATCTTAGATTTAAGAAATTTTGTCTGAGCTCCTTAATGGTTACTGAATGTCTTCAAATCCCTGTATGTTCCTTCATATTACCATTTGCTGAGCTTGTTTTGATGTCACTTTTTGTGGCTGTTAATACAGGGTCTAGAAATAGTAAGTGTGAACTCACATTGAAAGGCAAAATTATTTCTCCTGTTGTTGTACAGAGGACCCTTAGGTCACATGATGACTTTAGTTCATTTTGCCTTACATAGAGATAGAACCCAAGACCCAGTAAATGTTAGGCAAGCATTCTGCCACTGAGCTACAGCCCCAGCCCTCTGCCCATGTTCTTAAAGGGGAAATTTGTAGCACAACTGTCTCAAGCTGTTTCCTAAGGCAATAACTCTGATACTTACATCCCATGTTAGAATTTTTCTTTTCTCCTCATTCAGATTTCTCTTATTTTCTTGGATTTTTCCCCATAATGATCTCATTTGCTTCAATAGCTTCTCCTGTAAGGGAAATATCAATGTAAAGCAGATATACACATTTCAGACCCTAACAGATGGAGAGAGTTAAGGGATGTAAAATAAAAGTACTTTAATGAGAATAAAATTCACCTGTGTGCCTGTTTCACCTCCTAAGTTTCTATTATGTAACAGACTAAGAAATTTTATGAAGTTGGCTACCTGTCAGATAGGCATTTTGTCTCATCATTTGTATCTTCTAATGCTTCTGTCCTGTTGATCTCCTTCATATTTGTCTAGTATTACTAAATGTGTTCCCAATATAAAGGTTTTGTTCAGCTGGTCAAGGTGTTGCATGTCTGTAAATGCCAGGGACTTGGAAGGCTAAGTCCAGAGGATCAGAGGTTTGAGGCAAGCCTCAGCAATTTAGTAAGGCCCTAAGCAACTTAGTGAGGGTTTATCCCAAAAATAACAAATAAAAATGGCTAGGGATATGACTCAGCAGTAAAGCAACCTTGTGTTAAATTCCCAGTATCAAAAAAAAAAAAAATCATCTTTTATATACTCTTGGTCACCAGTGACCTTTTGAAAATGGGGACTTTAAGATGTCTTAGCCTAATTCTGCTAAATTTACACTGAAATGATATTTGTTGACTTTATTGGCCTCCCATTGAATGCTAGCCTCACAAAGACAGGTATATTTAGAAATTCTATTGATATCTCTATCTTTTTGTCTTATATGGTATCTGCTTCCTATTAGGCCCTTGGTAAAGACTGGATTAATCATCATGAGGACCATCACTTACCCGGTACTCCTCAGCAGCCTCCTCAGTGGGACAGTGTCTGTGACCCCTATGCTCCTGAGAGTTGGAACAAAGCAAACAGAGCAGGTTCTTGTCTTCTTCACAGAAGATCTTCTTTGTCTCCTGATGGGTCACACATATGTGTTCCTTGGAGCTCAGGATTTGCCTTAGACTGGCTTGTCTGGCAAGTAAAGACATCCTCTTCACACAAATATCTGGCTTGAAGTCTCTCTGCTGTGATGGCCTCTGGCACACATGGCAACAGGCAGGAATTTGGGCTTCTTCCCAGGAAAGGCAGAGACAGGGCCAACAAAAGCTGTGCCCACAGCCTATGGTGACTGGGTCCATAAGGTAGTTCATGCAGAGAGAGCAGGTGAGTTCTTTTTGGAAGGGTCGTGGGATTTCTGATTCCATTTTTCTGAGGGAAGAAAACTAGGAGAATTTTTTCATCTATTCTTGAAGAGAGAAAGGCCTGAACAAAATTGTGCTCAAGTTCTCATTCAGTAACACACATCTACTTGGATCAGAATACATAATTAGAATAGATTACCTATTGTATTATGCCAAGCCCTATTCTCCCCCCATAAATGTACCCTATTTCTTGAGGTACAATTTCTCCCTAATTGTTTGACTTTTAGGAATTTGATTCAATATATAACTCCAGGGCATAAGTCTGAAGTGAAATGAAATAATCCTAATGTTCATTTCTAGTCCTTGGTTAAGTAAAGGGCATGTGCCTGAGCTTTAACCTTGTTATTGTCTTTAACTTCATAACTATTCTATTTTGATGAAGCCTCTGACATCTTTACTAGTAAGTATTGTAGCCAGAACACAAATTTTTGATTAACATTAAAATAAGGTAACAACTAACACATTATCTTTTTAATCATTAATGGTAATTCAATCACCAATAATTCTCTTTTGTGTTGATTGTTTCAGAGATTGTCTAGCAAATTGAGGTTATCATGTTTAGGGTTACATCCTTATAAATAAATTATAAGTTTTAAAAATGCATTAATAAAATGCACTGCACAATGCCACTCATCTGCATGTGTTATTTCACTTATAATCCAGAAAATATTTTTCTTGTAATCCATTGATAAGAATGCAAAAAAAAAAAAAAAAAACTATGACCAAAATTTCCCTTTGATGTCTTTTGTTGTCTGAAATGGATCCCCACCCAAAAATCAACTTCTGGATATGTAAAAATTAATAAACACTAAAGTGAACTTTGTCAAATTGGATATTTCATCCAGCATCTTTATATTTGAATATACTAAACTGTTGAATCTCTCTTTATATGTCTATTATCTACATGCCTGAATTCAAACAGACCAATAATTAAGAAAATGGGAATGGTAATATCTCTCAGTCCTTTAAAATATTCCCCCAAGCACATTGTAAAAAACCATTAATTATCATGTAAAAAATTAATTTTGCAAAACTAAAAATTGATGTCATAATTTCTATATTATATAATTATAAAGTGCCTTTCCCCTTATACTCAGGTTTCTTTCTGATAGCCAGTGTCACTTTCCTGCAGGCCTATACATTTATTTGCTTCTTTAGAATTTAAGTAAAGAAACCAACCTCTGAAGAGATAATATTACCACAACCAAGAGGAATATTTTCTGAGTCATTTTATGCACTATTTAGTTATATATTGAGAATACATTTGCATTATTTTTAAAGTAGTATATAATACATGTAAGATCTGTTTATAGAACAAAATTTTCCTAACCAATTTATAGAATCTATACCAAATACAAAACTATAAGATGCCTGGCAGTTTTTTTTTTTTCCCTTACTATTCATATGCACAAACCAAGGAATACAAAAAAAAAAAAAAAAAAGGAAATTCATGTAGTAAGATTAGATGACCAATTTGTTTAATTTAAAAATAGCTTCTAGAAAAGGAGGTACTTTTCCTAACTAAGCAAAAAACATCAATTCATTCCAATGATTTTTGTTCACAGATTTATACATTTTTGAAGATCTGTTTGTTTCAGAAAATAGTTGCACAGGAATGATGGTGCAGGCCTGTAATCCCAGCCACACCCAAAGCTGAGGCAGGCATAAGGAAAATTCAAAGAAAACCTCAGCAATACAGGGAAACATTTTCTCAAAATAAATCATACAAAAAAGCCTGGCAATATGGCTCCATGGCTAAGCACCCTTGGCTCCAATCACTGGTACAAAAAAGAAATAATAATAATAATAGGAACATCTCATTTGTAAATTATATACTCACCCAAGGAATGTGTCTATTGTCTCACCAATGCTTACTGTAGAGGTAATATGAAGTCTGTCTGGGGATCAGTGCTTCACATAGTAGAACTGATGTCTTTCAGGGGTCTGCAAAGCCAGGTGAGTTCTGAAACTACTTTGATCTGGAGAGGAATGAGACTAGCTCCTCCTGCACTTTCTTTTTATAGAGGCTCTGAAGACCACACCCAGTTCTCCAAGTGATTAGATTTCAAGAGCTTCCAATAGGAATTAGTATGAGTGATTAAGATTGTATAAGTGATTAGATTAGTAAGGTAGATTAGGCTAGGATGGGTTTTTAATTTCAAAATAGAGAAGACTGATTTAACACTTTGGTTAATCTTGATCAACAAACCTTTATAACACCACCTCCCACAAACTTCCTGAAACATCCTGACACTCCAGACACATCCTGTCTAACCACAGTGATCCCACTGGCATAGAAGTTTGTAAGGTTTTCTGGCTCCTAAATTTCCTCCTAATGTCTTGAGTCCCAAGTTCCCTGCCTGAGCCAGGGGCTACACAGCTTTTTCTTCCTTTCCTTCCACAGTGGACAGGGCTCACTATTCCTTGGCAAACTCCAGGCAAGTTTTTCTTGTTATGAGAGTATACAATATGTCTCAAAATAGAACAATAAAAAATTTCATTAACATTTTACTAGCTAGTTACACATTTCAAACGTGCACATTACATATATGGGCCTCGACTTGTTTTCTTACTTTGGCTCCACAAATATGAAATATCAGCTAAAATTTAAAAAGATCTCATTGAAAGGTACTAGTCAAAATTATGAGCCTGGTGCTATGGGCACAAGTTGTAAAGTGAAAGCATGTGTTGACACCCATGTTTTCTGAGTCTAGAGCCTATTCCCAAGAAAGTGTCCCAAAATTTCTTTAACTACTTACACAAATTGCATTGTAACAACAACAACAACAACAAAATTATAGTAGTGTATAAAGTAGCAAGGAATACTTTAAAAGAAATATTTTTTGTCCCAACTTTCCCAAAACTTGATAATTGAATTTAACATGGATACCTCCATTTTCTTATGCATTCTTTTTTTAATATTTATTTTTTTACTTATAGGTGGACACAATACCTTTATTTTTTATATGTATATGGTGCTGAGGGTCAAACCCAGTGCCTCACACATGCTAGGTGAGCTCTCTGCCACTGAGCCACAACCCCAACCCTTTTATGCATTCCTCAACTAATGATTTAGCTCTGACTATGCCACATTTTTGGGATACATGGGAATTGTTACCTGATCTCTAAACCTTTTATGATAATGTCTTGTATATTTCAGGAGAATGATTGTATTGGGTTTGAACAATTGTGCTTTTAACAAATTATCTTGGATTCCAAAGGCAAAACTCATCTTTCCTGGGGACCATAATTTTTAAAAATGACCCCCCAAATTTATTTTCTATTGTTTTACTAATTTTTCTACTATCATCCTTTCCTTGGTATATGATAGTATCTTCTAACAAAATAATATATATTATTAGAAAATATTCATAACTTTTATAGGATAAAATAAAATATTTGCCTCAGAAATGGTTAATAGTTATGTCTGGGTTAAACCTTGTTCCAATAAAGATTTAGAAATCTTAAAGGATATCCAAAAGGATAACGATCTTTTCAGTAGCAGATCTCCCAAACAGCACGGAAAAATATTAATAGACACACAACAATAGGCTTGTGCCTATGAGAGATCTTGAGGCCTGGACAGTGACTGTGAAGAGGCAGATTGTAACATCCCAGCAGCAAGGCGCCCGCCTGCTAACCCTCCTCTTCTCTGCTGTCACCTCCATGGGGTCTCTGGACTAAAGTACCTTCAGCATTAATTGTAAGGCTGTCCGTCCCAGGTCAGTCTTCCTCTCTGCCTGCCCTTCTTTCTGTCAGAAGATGGAGGGTGAAGGGTCTAGTCTGCCAGATCTCACCTTCCCTCCCCACTGCAAGCCTGCAGGCCAGAACCATGAAGAAGATAAAGTTGGGGTTCCTCTGTCTCCCAGAGTACAAAGAAGACTCCAAGCAGTACACTACATTCATTAAGAGAGAGGTGCAGAAATGCTTACCTAGATGTTCTTTGTATCACAATTTTTTGCTATGAAAAGCAAGCTATCTATATTACAGAAACAGAAACTAACTCATATAGATGCATATAGTAAAATATTGAAGCATTTTTTTAATTCAATGCTTTTTTTTTTATTTTTTATTTTTAGTTGCAGTTGAACACAATATCTTTATTTATTTATTTTTATGTGATGCTAGGGAAGGAACCCAGGGCCTCACCCATGCTAGGCGAGCAATCTACCGCTGAGCCATAACCCAGCCTTGAAGCATGTTTTATTAAACAAGCTTTCAACAATTATTCAGCTATATAGTCTTGTATATTCCAGATATCCAGTTGATAATAGAAACTTTTTCCCCCATGCCTAAACTATTTATTGATGGCAGCTTGCTAACTGGAGGAAAAGTCCTTGACGATGAAAATGCAGGGATCTCCAGAGTGCTACCCTTGTTACTGCATGCATTGAGTAAAGATTTGGAATGAAGGGCAGAAACATATGTGCATATTATGTTCAAAAAAGATGTTTCTTATCAAAACTAACATTGGATTTGTCCATCTGGTCCAAGAATATGAAATCATCTGCCCAGCAAATTTGACAATGCAAATGGTTTCTCCACTCCAGAGAAAATTTGCTCATCCTGGAACCACATTCTGTATAAAGATAACACATGAAACTGGGCATGGTGGTACATGCCTGCAATGCCACCAACTCAGGAGGCCGAACAGGAAGAGTAAGCCAGCCTCAGCAACTTAGAGAGGCCCTAAGCAACTTAGCAAGACACACTATCTCAAAAAATAAAAAAGGGCTCAGGATGTGACTCAGTAGTAAAGTACCTCTTGGTTTAATTTCTAGTATCTCCCTGCCCCCTCACATAAACTGTGAATATCATTTTGGAAATATGAAAATGGTGATTGCACAGAATGGAAGATTGAAAAGCAACAATAAGGAGGGTATGAATTTGGGAGAAAAAGAAATAATACAGGTAATATTAGTACCAATGTAAAATGGTCAAGTGATTTCTTTTTAAATTTATGCTGCTTCAAATTTTGTTTCTCTAAAATTTATTAACAATTT